TAAGCTGGGTCAATGGGCAGAAACTAATAAGCTACATTTCAACTAAGATAAATGTATATTGATCTTTGGATAGAAAAAAGAAAACCAAAGAAATGAGTAGAATGGGGGGAACCATGCTGAGTACCTAGAAAAAGCATCTTGAGTATCTTGGTGGATAACAAACTGTTAGCCAACAATGACACAACAGCAAAAAAAGGAAAATGCAATGTTAGACTCCATCAACAGCAGTGTCAAAATTAAAAAAAAAAATCATTATTCCTTTCCATCCTGCATCTAAAATATTGCTCAGACCTCACCTATAATATTGTGTCCACTTCTGTGCACCAAATTTTAGGAAGGATGTTGATAAACTGGAAGGTATCCAAAGAAGAACAACCTGGAAAGAAAAATTTATGAGGAACAGTTGAAGCTGTTGGATATATTTAGCTTGGAAAAGACTGTGGAGAGACACGGTAGCTGCCTCCAAGACGATAAGGCACAATTCTTCAAAGATGTTTCAGAAAAGAAAAAAATGGCTTGAATTACAAGGAAGTAAATTTCAACTGGGTATCAGGAAAACTCTAATAATAGGAGCTGCTTTCTCAAAATCTGCCTTGAGAAAGGGTGTATTCTGCTGGAGAGGTTTAAACATCCCATTGAGGATGACACCGTGATTGATTCCTGGTACATTCTGTTATTCACCAGTTCAAATTGCTTTGGGTGATTTTGAGCTGGAGAATAAGTTCCATGGAATATCTAAGAAAGCAAACCAATAATATATAATAATCATCCTGTACGCTGTTAAATATGTGCATTACGGACAGCAAAGTGATCATGTTTCTAGATATCTCGGCAAATTATTACCAACCAAAGAAAAAGCAATGTTGGCCATAATCAGGAAGATTATAATATGAATGTTTGCAGCCTATTATAATGATTTCATCTACCCCTTTTGTGCGTTTTTCATTTTATCAGGCTAAGTTAAGATAACCATAAGTTCGGGTTTCCTGTACAAAGCAAAAGCTGTTGATAAAGGTAATATATCTCTTACAATGTTTGTTTTGTTTCTTGGTTCTAAAAAGTCTTCTGGAGAAATTAAAGTCAATATTACTTTTTGCAAGTGATAGCAGCAGCTACGAAAGGAGACGGTAGATGTTATTGATTGTTCAGACCACCCTTTATATTCAGACCCCGCTGTCCTCTGGATCAAGGAAAGTGTTTTTCCAAGCCAGGAAGAACACTACTTTAGTCCAGACTGACAACCAATAATGGTGAAGGAAAGAACACAGCAACATTGTGCGTCATTATGACAAGCTCACGAAAGACTAATACATCCACAAAAAGAAAAAAAATCCAATTCTAATTTTATTTGTATTAAATTTTTAAACTTCCATTTTAGATCGACGTACAAGGATTAATATACAGGTATTTGTTGGAAAACCAAACAACTTGAGATTATGCTTTGAAAAGATCGCATAAAAATGTTTCCTACGAAGGACCCCTTTTCTGATTAGGGCAGATTGATATTTCTCCCTAGCCTATCTTCAGTAGAAGGGAAAAATACAATCCTATCTCTGGTGTTAAAAGCTCATGTCAGAAAGCTGAATACTTCGACCCAAACAAGCTTTACAAAGGTGGTACAGCGGGCTAAGCCAAATGAATAAAATGTTTTTCAAGCAGGTCAATAGATCAAATAAAACATTCTTCCCATATGTCAGACCTAATCACAGCTCAGCAGTAACCCTCAGTGCGTAAGCAAGAAACAACAATTGGGGAACAAAGAAAATGAAGCCAAAAGAAATATCTAAAGATGTTCAGGTTTGTTTATCTGTGCTTATCTGGTTCTCTTTTGTACACATGAATTCTCACATGAACAATCAGACTTTTTTTATGGAAGCTTTGGTCACAAGACAGCCAAATGTGGAAAGCCAGCCAGATTATTTTGCGCTATAGAATGCAGTGGGACAGTTTTTAGCATGGGGTGAAAAATCTTAAATAGGGATTCATAACTTATTTCAGCTTCTTACAGGAGTCTTCTAACAATTTCCAAAATCCTAGACATAAACATAAATGACACTTTGGAATCCAAATCAAACATCCAACTTAAAATTTATCTTACAATACTATGGACATTTGGGGTCTTGGATAGTTTTTTTTTAAAGTATTGTTAAGGAAAACTTTTTATTTTGAACACATTCTTAGTCCTTTTTGTGATCCTTGTTCTCATGGTACAGCTACGCTTTCTCAATCAAAACACTTTTGCCACTCCGTTATTAACATTTTCTACATTACACAGCTGCTTGATAAAATATCTGTTTATATTCTGAAATATTTCCCAGCATGTCCTTGTATCTTTATATAAGCAGTGACAATACTTTATGAATATAAAAACAGGGCATCTTGCAGTTCCAGAAAATTGTTATTTAGGATTAGAATGCATAGAGTTTGTGTCCTTAGTGAAGATTTAATAATATTCAGAATTATGCTTTAAAAATCTTATATGAATAGTCCTCGACTTACAACTATAACTGTACCTGACAATTATATTTTTTTGCAACAGTCTTTAAGTGAACCCACTGTTTTGCTCCGTGGCATTTTTGTTGGAAACCAGAAGTATATCTTAGTATCGAGCAAAAACATCGTAAATTGCAGTCATGTGACCATGGGATGCTGCAAACAGCTATGCCAGATGCCCAAATTACAGTCATGTGGCTGGGATGTGTGACCATTGGAATTTCAGATCCTGTTCATAAATATCTTTTGGATATTGTAACTTCAAACAGTCATTAAGTAACCAGTCATAAGTTGAGGACTATATGTGATATAAAAATTTTTTAAAAAAGCAGTACAAAGAAAATCACAAGCATGAGCTCATTTTGAAGGCAAGATAACCTGTTTCATATTAGCGAAGTCTAAGTGTGGGAAATTTTCCTTGCATTGAGCAAGTTTTAATAATATTTCATAGTTTATACTGGATTTCAGTTTGTATCAGTAGTATCTGGTAGTACAGCTCTGCTAATCATGAAACCATCAGAGTCAAGGTTGTATCTGCCCTCAGTATAAGATTTTCTCTTAGCTACAAACATTTACAAAGTAGAGGTTATTTAGACCGGGGTCTCCAACTTTGGCAACTTTAAGACTTGTGCTGAGGAATTCTGGGAATTAAAGTCCACAAGTCCCTCATTTAGACCAGGGGTCGCCAACCTTTTGGACCTCAGGGACCACCAAATTCATAATTTTAAATCCCACGGACCACTAATATGAATTTTGACTGATGGTGGCTTGCTGACGTTGGTAGGAAAATAGGTCCCATATTCCAGAGCTGCAGTAGTCATAGGACTGGCCCTTTGGTCACCCCGGAGCAGCTGCTCCTCCACCCAGAAGCACTGGCCTGCCATGGACTGGAGAAGCTGCTCCGGGATGACCAAAAAGGCCAGTCTTGTAACTGCTGAAACTCTGGAATATGGGACCGACTTTCCCACCAACATCAGCAAGCCACCCTGGGTGGATTCCCCCCCCCCCACTGTTAGTCTTTAATTTCCAGTTCCAGCTCACGTGGCTCTACTCAAGGTAGGGGGACATTTCTCTGAGGACCACCAAAATTTTCTCGTGGACCACCAGTGGTCCCTGGATCACCAGTTGGGACCACTTATTTAGACAACCATTTGGTCGCCATGATGTAAAAAAGCTGTTGAGACTCTAGAAAGAATACAGAGAAGAGCAATAAAGATGATATGGGGACTGGAGGCTAAAACATAACGAACAGTTGCAGAAACTGGGTTAATGTCCAGTTTAATGAAAAGAAGGACTGGGGTGACATGACAGCAGTGTTCCAATATCTCAGGGGCTTCCACAAAGAAGAGGGAGTCAATCTATTCTCCAAAGCACCTGAGGGCAGGACAAGAAGCAATGGGTGGAAACTAATCAAGGAGAGAAGCAACTCAGAACTAAGGGGAAAGTTCCAGACAGAACAATTAATCAGTGGAGCAACTTGCCTCCAGAAGTTGTGAATGCTCCAACCCTGGAGGTTTTTAAGAGGAGTTTAGCAACAATTTAGGGTTTCCTACCTAAGCGGGAGGTTGGACTAAAAGACCGCCAAGGTCCCTTCCAAATATTTTATTCTATTTCTATTTCTATTCATTTAAAAGTGGCCTGAGTAGAATCACTAATTATGTTAGTGGAGGAGATGAGCTGATACTATCTTGCACACAGCTTGCACCTTATGAATGACTTTATTCACAATTCTCAGAGATAGAGAGATAGAAACATAAAAGCTAGATATGCGTACTGTTCTCAAGCGATTTAAGTATCATAAGGTGAGCTGTGACGGTGTTTACATCATTTACAATCTAGTCAACCATATTTCAGAATGTTCCTCAACCATGGCAATTTTAAGGCGGGCCAAGTTCACCTCCCAGAACTCCCCAGTCTGCATTACTGGCTGGGAAATTTGGGGAGTTGGAAGTCCACACACCTTAAAATTGCCACGGCTGAGAAATACCGGCCTAAAATTAAATCCAGCTGGCAAAGGTGCAACGAACTGATAGCTGTTATCACAAGAAGCCCCCAAATTGCACGGAGTAAATGATGGCTAAGTTAACCCCAGGCAAGCATGCACGGTCAAGGATAGGCTGCCACCAGTTTCCCCCTCTTCTTTCTGGAAGAGAAGTACCTGCTGCCATGAGACAGCTCAGAAAGCAGCGTCCCAAAGCGGGAAACCCAGATTCCTTGCCTCCATTGCCACCCAGGCAGCAGAGCCAGGACTTTCCTTAGGCAAGCAATGGGAGCTATGTAGTAAGTTAAGGCGACGCCAGCCTTTGCCCGAGGCGATGCAAAGCAAGGCGGCTATTTTCACAGCCTGCTTCCCGGCTCCTTCCAGGCTCCGAGGCTCAGGCGGAGGAGATCGGTGGGGCGGCGGTGGTGGAGAGGACCCGAGCGGAGCCCGAGCATCCGCTCCGCTTGGCAGCCAGCCGCAGTGGCGGCGGAAGGGCGGCCCTCCACCCAGCGCTTGCCCGACTCACCGGGGCTCTTCAGGCCGGCCTCGGCGGCGGCGGCGCCGCTCTCGGGGCCGGCGGCGGGCAGCGGCTGCTGCGGAGGCTCGGCGTCCGTGTTGGTCAGCCAGGTGGACTCGGTCTCCCTGGTCCAGCTCTCGTAATAGCGCGGCTCGATGGCATCGGCGCGGCTCCCGCCGCAGCCCATCCCGGGTCCTGGCAGCTCAGCGCCGGCCCCGCGCAACACCAGCACCAGCAGCAGCAGCAGCTGCGGCTCCCTTTTCTGGGCGAAGGGCGCTCGCCTCCGCCTCCTACCACGCGCTCTGCCTCGCTGCCGATGGCCCGTGGGCTGCGGGTGCCTCGCGAGCCTTGACGCGCCTGCCTTGCCGCCCCCTTCCCCCGCCCCGCCGCTCCCGGGTTCCCCTCGTTCCGCCTTCCCCGCCTCTGCTCCTGCTCGCTGGCGGAGGAGGGAGAATCGCCGCCTGAGCGGTGGCCTCAGGAAGCCCCGCTGGCCGGGGGAAGGGCTGCTGATGCTGCTGTTGCTGTTGCTGTTCTCCTCCTCCTCCTCCTCCTCTTCTTCTCCTCCTCCTCCTCCTCTTCTTCTTCTTCTTCCTCCTTCTCCTCCTCCTCTTCTTCCTCCTCCTCCTCTTCTTCTTCTTCTTCCTCCTTCTCCTCCTCCTCCTCTTCTTCCTCCTCCTCCTCTTCTTCTTCTTCCTCCCCTTCTTCTTCCTCTTCTTTTTCTTCTTCCTCTTCTTCTTCTTCCTCCTCCTCTTCTTCTCCCTCCTCCTCCTCTTCTTCTTCCTCCTCCTCCTCCTCTTCTTCTTCCTCCTCCTCTTCCTCTTCTTCTTTTCTTCTTCTTCCTCTTCCTTCTCCTCCTCTTCTTCCTCCTCCTCCTCTTCTTCCTCCTCCTCCCCTTCTTCTTCTTCTTCTTCTTCTTCTTCTTCTTCTTCTTCTTCTTCTTCTTCTTCTTCTTCTTCTTCCTCTTCTTCTTCTTCCTCCTCCTCCTCTTCTTCTTCCTCCTCCTCCTCCTCCTCCTCCTCCTCCTCTTCTTCTTCCTCCTCCTCCTCCTCCTCTTCCTCCTCCTCTTCTTCTTTTCTTCTTCTTCCTCCTCCTCCTCCTCCTCTTCTTCCCCCTCCTCCTC